CTCTGGATCTTTGGAGAGTGTGATGGCTGTGTGATTCTTGTTTTCCTTGCCTCATCAGCTGGTGTGTTCACAGGGAATATCTGCTGGTGTTGGAGGCTGGGATACTGGGATGAGTTGGGGGAAAGAAGATTAGGGATGAAGATTTTTGTGATCCATTGGGGATGGAGTCAGATAGTAATGGGAGACCATAGTAGGTCTGCAGCTACAGAGCTGGAGATGAGACTGGATTGGATCTCAGGAGCAGTAGGAGAGGTGTGGGTCTGCCTTCATCCTACTTGTTATCTTGGCAGAAGCAGCCCTTGGGTTAACTGAGCATGCCTGGTCAAGTTGGGGTCTGGAGCAAAACAACAAGTGCATGCAGGAAGGGAGGTTAGAAGGTGATAGCTTGTGGGATACATGGGAGATGTGGGCAGTGAGAGAAGGCTGCTGCTGGTGCTCTGGTGCAATGCTGAGGATGCAATGAGGGGAGTGGATAGGGGGAATAGACAGAGACATCTGCTGGCAGCCTACCTCTGTTATGCTAATTTTAAGTAAATAAAAATCAGTATGTTTCCTTATGGCTTTTTCAAACATCCCTAGTCTTATTTTTCTGCCCGCTCCTCCTTATCCTTCTTCATAGTCCTCCTTTTTCTTTTTCCCATTTTTCCCAGTCTTGTCACCTGCGTCCTGATATTACTTTCTCTAACCCCTACTCATTGTCCCTTCTTACTTTATTGGTTTCTTAGTTACTCCAGGTTATATACGAGTGACTGAAAATTGGGAGCTTGGAACTGAAAATTAGAGAGAATATATGGTGTTTTTCTTTCTGGCTCTTGGTTCCCCAGACTTAATATCATCTCTTATAGTTCCATTTATATGAAATTTCCATGATTCCATTTTTCTTTATAGGTGAATGTACTTGTCCCCACCCGCAGGACAACAACCTAGAGCAAGAAGTCCAGCGAGGAAAATGGAGACAAGAGATGCGAGAGAATGACCACAGGACAGGATTCTGATCAGGTGGCGAATTTTATTTTTTCCAGGCTAGCCTATGTAGTCAGGAGTATGGAGTAAAGGAGAGGGGGTGAAGAGGCCAAGAACCAAGTGTTAGTTTAAGCAAGATATCAGAAAACTAAATAAGGAAAATATTGGCAGGGTAAAAAGCCCATGGGTAGTGGGGAGAGGGAGGGTTACCTAGGTGACTGGTGGGACACAGGAGGGTTGCTTAGGTAAATGGTGGGATGCAGAAGGTTTGCTTAGGTAAGTGGGCTTGTGGTTGGAACAAAAGATTGACATCTGAGTCACGTTGATCCTTCTGAGTGCTCATGCTTCTAGAAGTCATTTATAATCAAAAGATAGTTCTATAACTATGTGGCTTGCCAAGTATGGCCTAAAGGTTCATGCCAAGCTGTATGGCTCCCAAAAGGTGAATATTATTCCATAGTGTATTTGTACCACATTTTCATTATCTATTTGTCAACTGAAGGACATTTAGGTTATTTCCACTTCTTAGGTATTGTAAACAGAATGACACTGAGCATGGCTGTGGAGTAGCGTGCTGAGTCATTTGGGCATGTGGCAAGGATTAATGATGCTGGGTCACACAGTAGGTTAATTTTTAGTGTTCTGAGAGTTTCTATTGATTTCTGGCATAAGTAGACCAATCTTCAGTCTGACCAACAGTGAATGAGGGTTCCGTTTCCCACATCCTTCCCAGTATTTATTGTATTTATTGTCAGTTGTATTATTATTGTTATAATTATTATTATTATCTTAGCCATTATGATTCGGTAAGGTAACATCTCAAAGTTGTGTTGATTTATATTTCCCAAATTTCTAAATATGATGACCATATTTTGGAACAATTCTTAACCACTGTTATTTTTTTCTTTGAGAACTCTCTGTTCATCTCTATAACCCCGTAGTTCTGAATGTGTCATTTTGTGGGGATTTGCTGTTGTTGCTCCTTTTTTTTTTTTAAGTTCTTTATATATTCTCGAAATTGATCCTCTGACAGATGTGTATCTGACAGAGTCTCTCCCATAGTGGGCTACCTCTTCACTTGTTTGATTGATTCCTTAGCTGTGCAGAGAGTTCTTTGTTTTATCAGGTCACACTTATCAATTGGACGACCATGTTCTTTTATATCTTATAGCACTAGAAGGAAGGATATTGAATGTTTTCTCTGTTTTTGTTGTTGTTGTTGTTGGTTTGGTTTTTCTGAGACAGGGTTTCTCTGTAGCTTTGGAGCCTGTTCTGGAATTTGTTCTGTAGACCAGGCTGGCCTCAAACTCACAAGGATCCATCTGCCTCTGCCTCCTGAGTACTGGTGTTAAAGGCATGCACCCCCACATCCACACTTGAATGCGTCCTACATTCATAGTATGTGAATTGTTAGGTGTTTGACATAATTTAAATGTTATGCATGTGTACATGCATGTTGAAGCATCACAGTGTTTTATTAGTGTGTGCAATTTTATTTTTATGTCAAGAGACAATGTATAAGTTTGAGAATGTGTCATAAATCATGTATACATTGTAACTAAAGACAACACTAGCTGTCTTCAGATTGTCCACATATCAACATTAAGATGGTTTGTGCACAACCAGACTGCTATCATAAATTTTTATAAAGAATAGAACTTCAACTCCCCCATTCCACACAAAGTTCAGTTTTCAAAGGAATTGTCTACATTCAAAGAAACAGCCACTTAGTGAGGGTTCCATTTTTTTCAACTAGTGCATTGTTTAAAATTCCTCTATAAATCACATATTCCTTTGCAAAAGGTAAATATCGCGGATTCAAAGGCACTGAAATTGATGGGGGTGGGAGATGGTTTGGTGTTTACAGGGCTCAGTGTACACAAGGTCTTGAGTTCAGAGTTCAGAACTCAGGTAGAAGGTTGGATGTGATGATCAACTTCCCTGGCATGTGAAGCCAGGTGGATCACCAGGGGCTTCCTGGCCAGTAACTCCAGATGAAAAGGAGAGCACCAAGCTTTCAGAGCAACACTACTTCAAAAGATAAGATGGAGAGCAAGAGAGAGAGAGAGAGAGAGAGAGAGAGAGAGAGAGAGAGAAATTTAATGATGGAGTTCTCCAAATTTTAATTAAATCTAGGTACTTTAGAAGACAAACATTTATCTGTCGGATGTGTTTTCTAGACTAATATATTTACATGGGAAGGAAGTAAAATATTCTTTACTAAATAACAATACTGAGCACTAAAGTATTCCTTACTAGGCGACCCCCCTGCTTATTTGGTGGGGAATGTGGTGAATGCCAAAGAACAATGGAGGCAGTTG